ATAAGATAATCTGTGCAGCATGCTTCATCAAAATAGGGAAGAAAGACAACTGTATTAATTTTATTATGTTGGCAATGGCACACTTAACATACTGTTTAAAAAGCTGTACTTGAATTGGTAATACACTGGAGTGGCAGGACCCCCTGTATCAGTAGGCAAAATACTGATAGTTTTCTTAACTCACTGAGATAATCAGTGACAATAATCATCCAGTGGAAATGAGAGAAAATAGCGTGTCCTTTTTTATGTATCCAAAATATTCTGGAAAGTCAACCAATGAAACAGACTGGGGGGTGGGGTGGGGGAAGGAAAAAACCAAAGTGGATCTTGAAAATGGTCCTGAAGAAGACTGATGGGATAATTGCACGCAGCGTGATCTCACTCTGGTGCTGATGGGAGACACCACTGGAAACCCAAACAGCTGTGATACATTTAAAATGTGACCACTCAGATGCTATTGTACTCATGATAGTTCATTTTATAACAGGAGGTATCTCAGAACAAAGATTTAAGACATGGTTTTCTTAAATTTAAGGACAAAGTCACAATCTCTCATTTATTTATAATATTTTCATCTTTTTTTTGGCCTTTTTTGTTTTGTTTTGTTTTATGAGGGGGAGGTAATTGGGTTTATTTATTTATATTTGGAGGAGGTACTGGGGGTTGAACCTAGGACCTTGTGCAGGGTAAGCATGCACTCTACTGCTTGAGCTATAGCCTTCCCACTATTCTCATCTTTTATATGGGTGGAACACTAAAAAGTCAAATATTCTAATCTTAAAATTACATCTCAGAGTTTAGCTAATATACTTGAATTAAAAATAAAAATAATCTGAACTTTAGGAATGTGACAGTAGAGGCATGGAATCAATAGGTGTTAACTCACAGTGAGGTGTAAGTAACAAAAACATGTTTAAGTACAGGGACAAAGAAGAACTAATTTTGTCTCTAATTCCAGACATGATACATTATTTCTTTGCTTTTGTATTTTTACTCACTTTCCAGGTTTTCTTCAATAATTTCTTCAATGATCACATCAGGGCTGGATCCCATCTGAGGTAAAGCAGCAGTGGTTTTAGGGGATGTTGTTGCAACAATCTCTTTCTGTGGCTGGAAGTTTTTTGCTTCTAAATGCACATTATTGGTTTCCCATCGCAAAGGAGTTGGTGGGGCTTCATTAGTTAGGACAGAAATGTCAAACTTTTTCTTTTTTAGTGATGGTTGTGTACGACTACAAGCAAATTCCTTTTTATGATTATTGTTCTTTAGAACATTCTGTCCAATTTCATTTTCTTGAGGATCACATCTGTTTAAAAATATAAAGGCTACTTTAAGTCATTTGATAAATTTTTTATATCCACCTTCAAACCGTTTCCTTTACACCTGACAGTTAATACTGTGACATGTGCAGAGTTAGTCACACAGGTGTCTCACGGGTTTTTAACAGCTTTATTAATGTATCATTTACACACTATCAGATCCAGTAATTTTTACTAAATTTACTTGTGTAACCATCGCAATCTAATTTCGAATATTTCCATTACCCTAAAAGAAACTTTTGCCCATTCTCAAGCAAGCCCAAGGGTTTTAAAAGGTCAAGAGGTAAAAATCAATGAGAAGCTGAAGAAAGAACCTGACATAGTCACATCACAATGATTTAATCCTAAAAGAACACTGGATGTAGTTTTTAATTTCAATCCATTTTCAAAACTGACACATTGTAACTGACTGTACTTGAATAAAAAAAACGGTTAAGAACTCTAAAAAAAAATCAGCTTCACATTTTTATTTGGCTTAGGTATTTAATTTTAAATTATGTTAAGATTATTTCTTTTAATTCACTGAATTAAAAATAAAGTATAGGAAGCAGTGAGGGGTACAATCCTAAGCAAATTACTAGAAACCTCCACCTAGGCTAAAAGTCACCATTTGTTTGAATACTTTGGGAATGATTGTTCAACAGTCACCAACCTACAGCTGATTATTCACTTTGCTCCATTATTTTTCTGTCTTCTTTACAAATCCACACAGATTTGGGCTCTCAAGTATAGAAATTCTATCAAAGAAATGAGGTTGAGTCGCAAAAGTTTTAGTTAACTCATGATAGATATAGTTTCTTCACAGATCACCATTTAAGAGCGATTTCAGAAATAAGAACTAACAAAGCCAACTGGAATCAGCACTGACCTATCTTATCTGTCTCTTAACACACACTGAATAAAGGTCCAAACACCTCCTGACAACACACATATGTACACAACTTTGTAACTGAAACATTTCTTTTCACAACCAACTCTCATCTGACCTTTCTGAGACATTTAACACCATCAACCAACTCCAGTCTCATAAACCTCTCCTCTGACTTCTAGAACACCACTCTCTCCTGCTCCTTCTCAGTTTTGTTTTGTTTTTTGCAGGTTACCCTGTCCCTAATTTAAAATTTATTATTTTTCGAGGGCACTGTACTTGATCTACTTCAATATTTGCTCTCACTGGGCAAACCGATTCCTTTATTACCACCTGTAAACGGTAGAGGCAGGTTACAATGATACTTTCCCC